AGACTAAGACCTCACTAAAATTGAGGTCAACAATGTTATCGTACCATCAAGTAGCTATCTTGTTTCAATGTTCACTATTTATGTAGCATTTTCAGTGGATAATAGATCGCGATTCTAATTGGTGAGATCTCTCAGTTTTTTTGTGTTTGTATGCGCCAATCTAAATCCAGGATGCAATGAGAAGGCTTATTTGACTTTGTTCTGTCTTTTGCATTTTCTTCGTTCCTTTTTATCCCCTTCATTTTACAATTATACACCATGCTTTGTCTTTTCGAATCTCATAATAGCAACTTTGTTGGTTATGTACAGGAGTCATTTGATCCTATAGTTGATCCTATTTCTGGTCGGGATCTTATACCCTCCTTGGTTTATGGGTATGAAAATATCTTCCTTTATCTTCTTTCTCGTTGGGACTTTATAAACTAGCTGTCATTCCTTTGAATATTTCCTTGTTATATATGCCAGAAGGAATACAAGGAATCAAGATTTTGGCGGGGTGTATTGCATGGTTTTGACTGTGGAGTAAGTGTGTTCTGAACTGTAGAGTGTTCTTTGGTTAGTTTTTTTAGGATTCAATGTTTAAAGCTGGTTTGGCAATTGCAGATCATCTGTTATATCAGCTGGGCTTCTTCGTGTATTGGGATGTGACGTAGCTGAACTCCCGCTAGTTGCTACAAAGAGGGAAAATCAAGGGCTGGTAAGTTACAACATTCCACTTCAGTTATTTGGTATGTGTGTGTGTGTGTGTGTGTGTGTGTGTGTGTGTGTGTGTATAATTATGATGCTGAAAACATGCATGATAATTTGTTATTCCCTAGCGATTGAGATGGGGCAAAATTAAGGCAAAAAAAATAATATTTCTTGTCTATTAAAGATTTAGGATGGGGATCATAATTCAACGGCATCATGATCCTTTTACCATGGCCAGGGTTTCTCGCTATTAGGTTTTTATTGTCCTTCTATGGAATGAAAAAATTGTCATCCCAGACATGAGCTATAAGTAAGGCCAAGGCATGAAAGAAAATTGCTATTTCCTTTGGGGGG